CTGCCTTATATGCCATCCTAGAACTCTCATCCAGTGGCTGATGGAGACTGAGGCAGACACCCACAGCTGTGAACCAAATTGAACTCCTGGAACCCAGTTTCAAAGAGGAGTGATGACCAAGGGAATCAGGATGGGGCTGGCAAGGCCCACAGGGCAGCTGACCTAAGGAAGGGGCATCACATGGACCCCAAACTGATGATTGGGGGGACAGCATGGGACTCATCCAGACATTCTGCTACCGAACCTGGGTGACAGAGAGGAGGCCTTGGCAATCTGTGTGATCTTGGAGAGTGGAGCCGTATTTATTCCTGGCATACAGAGGGACTGGGAGCCCATGCTACATGGAGGGATGCTCTCTCAGCCTGGACACATGGGGAAGAACCTGGGGCATTCCTGGGATGATGTGACAGACTCTGGAAATCCCTCATGGAGGCCCTTGCCCTCCCTGGGGAGTGGAGGGGAGATGGAGTGGGGGTGAGGGGTTGGCAGGATTGGGGGTGGGGGAGGAGGGAATGGAGAGGGAACTGAAAGTGACATGCGAAAAAACTTAAATAAAAATATGAAAAAAAGAATGAGCAATCAATGGTCATTAATGTCCCTCAATATTAATGGTCTTTTCTTGCCCATAAAAAAGACACAGGCAAACAGAACGGGTTTGAAGACAGAATCCATCCTTCTGCTGCATACAAGAAACACACCTCAGCTTCAAATCAGATGCTACTTCAGAGTTAAGGGTTGGGAAAAGATTTTCCAATAAAATGAACCAAAGAAACAGTACCAATCCTAATATCTAACAAATTAGACTTTAATCTAAAATCAATCAAAAGAGATGATGGAGGTCATTTCATACTTATCACAGGAGAAATCCACCAAGATGAAGTCTCAATTCTGAACATCTATGCCCCAAATAAAAAGGCACCCACGTTCATAAAAAACATTACTAAAACTCAAATCACATGTAAAAACATACACACTAATAGTGGGAGACTTCAACACTCCACTATCACCACTAGACAAGACTACCAGACAAAACTTAACAAAGAAGCAAAGGAACCAATAGAAGCTATGACCCAATAGTGTTTAACAGATATCTGTAGAACATTCCATCCAAACCCAAAAGAATATACTTTCTCACCACCAAATGGAACCTTCTCAAAAATTGACCACATAATTTGCAACATATCAAACATCAACAAGTACAAAAAAATTGGAATAATTCCCTATATCTTATCAGACCACCATGATTTAAAGTTAGAATTCAACAACACAAATTGCAGAAAACCTACAAACTCAAGGAAATTGAATAATGTGCAATTGCACTATTAATGCGTCAAAGAAGAAATAAAAAGAGAAATTAAAAACTTCCTAGAAATCAGTGAGAATAAAGACACAACATATCCAAACTTATGGGACACTCTGAAAGCAGTGCTAAGAGGAAAGTTCATAGCACTAAGTGCCCACATGAAGAAACTGGAGAATAGTCACACTAGAGAATTAACAGCAAAATTGAAAGCTCCAGAAAAAAAGAAGCAAATTCACCCCAGAGGAGTAGATGCCAGGAAATAATCAAATTGAGGGATGAAATCTATAAAGTATAAACTAGGAAAACTATCCAAAGAATCAATGTAATGAAAAGTTGGTTCTTTGAGAAAATCAACAATATAGACAAACCTTTATCCAAACTTTAAATGGCAAAGTGTGAACATGTGAATTAACAAAATCAGAAATGAAAAGTGGGACATAACAACGGACACCGAGGAAATCCAGAGAATCATCAGGTCATGCTTTGAAAACCACAAAATTTGAAATATAAAGGAAATGGATAATTTTCTGGATATCACTTTCTAAATTGAAATCAAGAACATATAAACAATTTGCATAGACCCATAACCACTAATGAAATAGAAGCAGTCATTAAAAGTCTCCCAACCAAAAACAGCTCAGGGCCGGATGGCCTCAGTGCAGAATTCTACCAGAAATTGAAATACTACCTAATACCAATTCTCATCAAAGTATTCCATGCAAAAGGAGCATAGAGGTCATTGCCAAACTCTTTTTATGAGGCTTCAATAACATTGATACACAAGCCACACAAAGACATAATTAAGAAAGAGAACTTCAGACAAATATTGTTCATGAACATTGATGCAAAAATACACAATAAAATGTAGGCATATCAAATCCAAGAACACATCAGAAAAATCATCCACCATGATCAAGTATGCTTCATCACAGGGATGCAGGGATGGTTTAACATATGAAAATCCATCAATGTAATCCACCATATAAACAAGCTGAGAAACAAAAAGCACAAGATCATCTAACTAGATGCTGAAAAAGAATTTGACAAAATCCAACACCTCGTCAAGATAAAGGTCTTGGAGAGACCAGGGATAACAGGAATAGACATAAACATAATAACAGCCCTATACAGCAAACCAACAGCCAACATCAACCTAAACAGAGAGAATCTCAAGGTGATTCCTCTAAAATCAGGAAAAGACATGGCTGTCCCCATAGTAAAAATAGCAATCTTGCTGAAAGCAATCTACAGATTCAATGCAATCCCCATCAAAATCTCAGCACAATTCTTCACAGACCTTGAAAGAACAATTCTCAACTTTATGTGGAAAAAGAAAAGACCTGGGATATTCGAAACAACCATATTCAACGAAGCAATCTCTGGAGGCATCACCATCCCTGACTTCAAGCTCTATTATAGAGCTAAAGTCCTGAAAACAGCTTGGTATTGGCAAAGAAATAGACAGGTAGATCAAGGGAATCAAATTGAACACCCTGATATTAACTCACACAAGTTTGAACACCTGATTTTTGACAAAGAATCTAAAAGTACACAATGGAAAAAAGAAAGCATCTTCAACAAATGGTACTGGCAAAACTGAGTGATGGCATGGAGAAGACTGCAGAGAGGTCCATGTCTATCGCCATGCACAAAACTTACATCCAAATGGATCAAAGACCTCAACATAAATCCAGTCACACTGAACCTCTTAGAAGAGAAAGTGGGACATACCCTTGAACGAAATGGTACAGGAGACTGCTTCCTGAACATAACACCAGCAGCACAGACACTGAGATCAACAATTAACAAATGGGACCTCATGAAACTGAGAAGCTTCTGTAAGGCAAAGGACACAGTCAACAAGACAAAAAAGCAGCCCAAAGAATGGAAAAAGATATTCACCAACCCCACACCTGACAGAGGACTAATCTCCAAAATGTATAAAAAACTCAAGAAGCAAGTCTCCAAAACACCAAAGGACCAAATTAAAAAGTTGGGTACAGAAATAAATAGAGAATTCTCAGTAAAGGAGTCTAAAAAGGATGATAGACACTTAAGAAATTGCTCAATATCCATAGCCATTAGGTAAATGCAAATTAAAACAACTCTGAGATACCATCCAACTCCTGTGAGAATGGCTAAAATAAAAAACACCAATGACAGCTTATGCTGGAGAGGATGTGGAGAAAGGGGAACACTCCTCCACTCCTTGTGGGAGTGACAACTTGTACAATCACTATGAAAATCAGTATGGACATTCCTCAAGAAAATGGGAATTAGTCTACCACAAAACCCAGCATATACCCAAAAGATACACATTCATACAACAAGGATGTCTGTTCCACTATGTTAATAGCAACATTATTTGTAATAGCCAGAACGTGGAAGCAACCTAGATGCCCCTCAACTGAAGAGTGGATATAGAAAATGTGGTACATTTACACAATGGAGTAATACTCAGCAGAAAAAATAACAATGGAATCTTGAAATTCACAGACAAATGGCTGGCACTAGAAGAAACCACACTGAGAGGTAACCCAGTCCCAAAAATACAAACATGGTATGTACTCTCTCATATATGGATTTTTTTTGGATTTTAGACATGGAGCAGGGATGTGCCAGCCTACCATCCCACTGTCAGATTCTAGGAAACAGGGAGGACCCTAAGAGTATCATGCATGGTACCCCAGAGAAGAGGAATGGGAGAGGAACTCCTGAGTGGATTGGGAGTGTGGAGCAGGGGAGAGGGAGATGGAAAAAAGAGAGTAAGAAGAGGAGTGGAGAGGATGACATGGGGAACAGTAAGGTTGAGTCAGAGGAAGAATAGAGAGGAGAACAGGGTGCCAGATACCATAATAGAGGGAGTCATTATAGGTTTGAGGAGAGATCTGGAACTAGTGAGATTTCCAGAGACCTACAAGGATGACACCAACTGGCAAACTAAGCAACAGTGGAGAGACTACCTTTAATGCTCATCCCTGATAATGTGTTTGAAGACTGCCTTATATGCCATCCTAGAGCATTCATCCATTGGTTGATGGAAACAGAGACAGACATCCACAGCTAAACAGTCCAGAGAGGGAGGAGTGATGAACAAAGAGGTCAAGATCCAGCTGGTGAAACCCACAGAAACAGCTGACCTGAACAAGGGGAAGCTTTTGGACCCCAGACTGATGGCTGAGAGGCCAGCATGGGACTGATCCAGACCACATAAATTTGGGTGTCAGCGAGGCCTCGGCAATCTTTGGGGCCCTGGGTAGTAGAACAGTATTTATCCCTGGCATTCAAATAGACTTTGGGAGCCCATTCCACATCGAGGCATGCTCTCTCAGCCAGGACACATGGGGGAGGGCCTAGGCCCTGCCCTGGATGTTAAGACAGACTTTGGAGATCCCCCATGGATAGCCTCATCCTTTCTGAGGAGCAGAGTGGGGATTGGGTGGGGGGGTTGGGGCTTGATTGGTGGTGGGGGAAGAGAGGGGGGAGAGGGAGCTCGAATTGACATGTGAAGCAAGCTTGTTTTTAATTTAAATTTTAAAAAAGGAAAAATATGTGACTATTTCAAAACCATTGCAATCAAGGAGGAGACTGTCATGAGGACATCTGGGAAGGTTCTTTTGACATCATCGAAAGGAAAATGAGTGTCGCAGAGAGGCAAATGAATCAAATGGAGAAGCTGTGTGGCCATGGTTCCTACCTCTACAGTGCCAGAGCCCTGGAATGCCTGGTCCTTCTTATTCCTCTTGGAATGCGGAGCATGTTGATTGTCTTCCTCGTTGTCCTCTCGTGGCCTCTTTCTGAAAATAGTTTAAAAAAGGGACAGGAAAATCTGTCATCATTCAGGGATTGACTTTTGGGTGAGCCCTGTGACAATACTCAAATCTGGGGCCTTGTCTAGGAATGAACTGCTCTGCTGGGTTCACACACTCTGCAGGCAGATGGCACTGGGCAGTGGAGGAAAGCATACCCCAGCTCAAGTTCAAGTTTCCCAAGCCAGAATCTTCGTTTGAACCACTGTTTGGGACCAAACACATGAAGAAATTAATAGCCAAACGTTAAAACTCTACCTGACTAGACCCATTCTTGTCACCCAGTTATATACTCGCTCCAGTTTATAGGATTCTCGGCAATGCCACAGGGCACCTTTCACGGTACATGGGGCTTCTCTGCTGTAGCTGCTCTTCTGTCCTTTTTTCCAGTGGCTGTGAGCAGACACCACTGTTAGATCATTCCTGTTGCTATAACAACAATTATTATGTCACTGCAGCTAGTTACCTTGACTGCCACCCTGACACTCTGGCTGATTGCTTACCTGAAACTGTATCTGCAATGTATTCCCTTATGTCTTCCCCCTGCCCTCTTTCCACAAATAATTAGCTTGTGATACTTGATGGTAGTATTCTTGAATATTCTTCATATGTTATTATAGGGATATTTTTGCATCATTTATTTGATTAAAGATAATTGCTAGTTTTTTATAGTCATATATTTATCTGAGTTCACTTATCCTTCCATTGTCTTTAATCTTGTTTTAGTGTCAGAGAGAAGACTTCAAGGTCAGATATGTCACTTAGTTTAAATATTTTTGAAATAAACCATCTTTACAAATACACTGAGAGGCACCTTGCTGAGTCATTGTCTGTCAGCTCCTAGCAAGAAGAATTTTTGGTGCCAGGACATCTGGAAAGTGGATTAAGTCAAAGGAGAACTACATCTTGTTGCCCACTCCTCGCCTGCCTTCTGCTGGGGACTCAGAGAGCCTGGGTGGTCTTGATGGGAACCTTGTCCATCCTCAGAAGTGTGAGAAGCAGCTTCTGCTTCAAGCACACAGGCTCTGAAAGCATGCTGTCCTTCTCTGATCCTGGGGCCTGAAATCTCCTAACAGCCCTTGCCATCCTGTTGCACACCCAACCCCTGTCTTCTATCTATGGGGTTAAACAACATTACTAATAAACTCCATATTCCCTAAAAAAATTGAGCTGAAACCATCCTGAGTGAGGTAACCCAGTCACAAAAAGACAAACATGGTATGTACTCACTCATATATGGATTTTAGACATGGATCAGGAGAGTGCCAGTCTGCACTTCCACTGACAGAGAGTCTGGGAAACAGGAAAGAACCTAAAAGATATGCATGGTACCCAAGAGAAGAGAAATGAGGCAAGATCCTCTGAACAGATGGGGAAGACGGCAAGGGGTGGGGGGGAGGGGGACCTGGGAAATAGAGAGGGGGAGAAGAGGAAGAGAGAGTAGGTCATGGAGGAACAGGAAGGTTCAGAGGGGGGTAGAATAGGGGGAAGAGGGAATCATAGGTTAGAAGACAGATCAGGAACCATTGTGACCTCTAGTGATCTAAACGGATGACACCAATTGGCAAGCTAAGCAATAGCGTAGAGACCACCTCGAATGCCCATTCCTGATAGTGAACTTGATGTCTACAACCATCCTGGAGCCTTCATCCAGTGACTGATGGAAGCAGAGGCAAACACCCACAGTTAAATACTGAACAGAGCCCAAGGAACCCAGAGACAGAGAGAGAGGAGCGATGAGCAAATTGGCAAAGAATGGGCTGGCAAAACCAACAGAGACAGCTGATCTGAACAGGGGAGAGCTCTTGGACCCCAGACCGACAGCTGGGAGGCCAGCATGGGACCGATCCAGACCCCCTGAAAGTGAGAGTCAATGAGGAGGCCTGGGCTACGTATGGGGTCCTGAGCAGTGGATCAGTGTTTATCTCTGCCATTTTGTCTTGTTGACTGTGTCCTTTGCCTTACAGAAACTTGTTAATTTCAGGATGTTCCATTTATTAATTGCCTATCTTAGTGTCTTAGTATCTTAGTGTCTGTGATACTGGTGTTATGTTAAGGAAGTGGTGTTCTGTACCAATTTGTCCAAGGGAACTTCCCATTTTCTCTTCTAAAATGTTAAGTGTCACTGGATTTATGCTGAAATCTTTAATGCACGTGGACTTTAGTTTTGTGAATGATGATAGATACACATATATCTGCAATCTTTATATTCCAGCATCTGGTTTTGCCCACACCATTTGCTGAAGATGCTTTCCTTTTTCCATTGTAAAATTTTAGCTTCGTTGTCAAAAATTAGGTGTTCTTAGGTGTGTGGATTAATATCAGGGTCATTAATTTGATTTCAATGGTCTGCCTGTCTATGTTTGTGCCAATACCAAGTTGTTTTCCTGAACTATAGATGTATAATTGAGCTTGAAAACAGGGGTGGTGATTCTTCTGGAAGTCCCCTTATTGTACAGGATTGTACCATTGAAAATGACAATGTGCATTGCAAACAGAATGGCAAAAGGATATTTAAAAGGCTTCTCCACCAAAGGACAGAAAAACTCTGGTCTTATGACCCTCCTTTGAAGAAGACTACAACCTACAAGATCGTGAATGTACCTTATCATTGAAAGAACCTTATTCTTGGGGTGAAATCATTTTGGGGAGCATGGTCAGGAGGAGTAACAATGTCCAACCTGGTGACAATATCACCATCACATGAAGATACTGAAACCTGTTCCAGAAAGTTTGCATTCTATTCCTTAGTAGTTTTGGCATCCTTCCTGGGACATTCTGGTGAGAGATGCTCCTCGGCAAGGGCAACCACATAGAGATGGTTCTATACTTCTCATGCTGCTCTTCCCAAATGTGAGCTACTAGTTTTCTCTCCTTGGGTTTTGGCATTTCCTTCCTTCCTTTGTTGTATGCAAAATTGCTTTCATTCCATTTCATTGACTAGAACACAGAAGGAGAACCAGGTTTGGTGGAAGTGTGTCTGTGTGTCTGTGTGTCTGTGTGTGTGTGTGTGTGTGTGTCTGAGAGAGAGAGAGATTTATATTTTTCTATGTGTAGACTCTGATGAGATATCCACCATTCACATTGTCATATCAACTGATGTTGTCATTGTGTATGTCTTAATTATGTCACTGTAGTGTTTAGATTTTATGGGTTTAGCTTCCCCATCACACATAGAACCCACATTTTCCTTGCAAATGTCCTTGTCCTCTGGAACTTACAATCTTCCTGCCACATCTTTTAATATATTCCCTAAACATTTTGTATAGGGGTTCTGTTGTAGACGTATTCATTGAGGTGTGCTCCCCACAGTGAGCTATTCCCAGCAATTTGACAAGTTGTGCATTCATGTAGTAGTCTCATTCAACTGCAAAAGGAAGCTCTTTTGGCCAAGTTGAGGCCTAATATGATTATCTATGCATATAACCATAGGTATTTAGAATGTACTTATCAAGTGTCCTGGTCTAGGATGTGACAGTAATGAGTGCCCCTATGGTGTCCATGGCCTCACAATATTCTAACATTTTGTTTGCTTGCTTTTGTTTTTTGTCTTTTCATGATTTCTATTTTTCCATGTATATTGCCGCATTATGTTTAGGGTGCTTTTGTTTGTTTCATTTTCATGTTTGGTGTATTTTTGCACATAATATATTTCAATCAAGTTTTTACTTGACCTCCAACTCCTTTCAGATTCATTTACCCTGCCATTTTTCTGGAGCATGGGGCATGCCCTGGAGTGTAGTTCATCTATCCTGTAACATTCCTGTAACATGAAACTTTTCTTGGTCCGGCTGGGGTCTGCCACATTTCTCTGCCCCAAATGACCACACAGAATCTTTATTAATTACAAAGCTGTTGGCCAGTGACTTGGATTTCTTATTGGATATCTCTGTCATTAATTTATACCCCATATATTCTAATCTATATATTTCCATGTGGTCTTGGCTTACCGGGAATATAAGACCTGCAACTCCTTTGCTGAGCGATTTCCTGTTTGTCCCTGGTTATATTATCTTTCTGCCCAGCTACATCACTTCCTATCTATCTGTACAGACCTCCAGACCTCTATGGTTAGCTGGTGGAAGGTTCTGTCCAACTACATCACTTCCTGGGATCACGTAATGACTCCTCTCTGCCTACATTTCCCAGAATCCTCCTTGTTGCCTAATCCTATCATCCTGCCTGGACAATCAGTGTTTTATTCATCAACCAATAAGAAAAACATATAGACAGAAGAACATTCTCCATCACATTCCATTGTACAAACTGGTTTTCCCTTCACCAGCGAATAGGTACATGGTTATGATGAGACCCTGTGTCTACTTCCCTTTCTCATTGCTGGGACCCAGTCTGGCTTGAATCTGTACAGGTCTAGTGCATGCTGCTACAGTCTTGGTGAATTCCCACGTGTATTGGTCCTGGTTTATCCAAAAGATCCTTTTCTTTTTAGTCACCTTCACCTCTGACCCTTACAATCTTTTCTCGCCCTCCTCTACATACATCCCTGAGCTTAGAGAAAAGACTTCAGATATAGACTTCATATTTTGAACTGAGTGCTCCAAAGTATCTCACTCTCTGCACATTGTCCATTCATGGTTCTGCATGTGAATGCTCATATGATGCAAGAAAACTTCTCCAATGTGTGTTGAGGGAGGCACTGATCTATGTATGGATATAGCTATATGTCTTTAGGAGGCAATTTATACATGTAATTATGGTCCTTTACAAGAACAATAGTAGTGGTTTTTCTGTAGGCATAGGATCTAATTAGTCTCAGAACCTTGGACACTTTAACAGTGTCATATTTTGGTCTCACATCATAGAGGAAGTCTTAACTCAAATTAAAATCAATGCATCACTCCCTGAACATGTATGCCACTATCACAAACAAGGGGAGTAATGGTATATGCTAGAATTTTATTTGGAAGATTAGGAGTGGAAAAAAGGAATTTGTGATCTACAGGTTCATTGTGGAGGGGGAAACAGGCAGATTACTACATATACTGGGAAGAGAGGAGGGAGTATTAACTGATGATGGGATATAAAACAGCTAAATAAACAATGAAAAACACAAAATGTGGGCAATAGACAGATGACTTAGTGATTAAGAATGCTAACTTCTCTTGTAGAGGACCATGGTTCAATTCCCAGCACCCACACAGCAACCCACAACTGTCTATAACTCCAGTTCCAGAGAAGTTACATACTCACACAGACACACATGCAGACAAACACCAGTGCATATACAATAAAAAAGAAGCACACTCCAGAGGACAATTAGTTAGCATTCAGTACTTATACAGCAGATATAATAAAAATAATAGGTTTTTTAAATCAAAGAAGGAAGAATTTGCAATTTGAAGACAAGGCAGAAGAAATAGAGAGCCAAGAGAGAGAAA